CGTGAGATTGCCTCCTCCGCTTCAATGTCGTCAACGTCTGCTGCGTCTGGGTGGTCGTAGCCTCGGCGTACTTGCGGGTGGACAGGAACATGTTGAGGTGGCTGCGGTGGTGGAGGTACTTCGTCATCTGGAGCATGTTGGCCGTAGTCTTCTACTTGCTGCAGCCGATGTGTTTTTCGACGTTGGGGTGCATCCCGTCTGACTGGTTGTATTGCCTTCGATGCTCCGCCTCCGTCTCCTCCTCCTCCTGCTCCTCCTCCTCCTCCTCCTCCTCCTCCTCCTCCTCCTCCGTCTCCGCCTCCTCTTCCTCCTCCTCCTCCTCCGCCTCCTCCTCCTCCTTTCCTCCTCCTCCTCCTCCTCCTCCTCCTCTCTCCTCCTCCTCCTCTCCTCCTCCGCTTCTCCCTCCTCCTCCTTTCCTCCTTCCTCCCTGCCTCTCCTCCTCCTCCTCCCTCTGCTCCTGCTCCTGCTCATGCTGCTGCTCCTCTATCCTCCTCCTCATCCTCTTCCTCCTCCTCCTCGCCTCCTCCTTCTTTTCTCCTCCTACCTCCTGCTAATCCTCCTCTTCCTCCTCTCCTTCCTCTCCTCCCTGCTCCCTCTCCTACTCAATCCTCCTCCCCTCCTCCCTCCTCCCTCCCTCCTCCTCCTGGGTGTCCATCTCCTCTCCTCCTTTCATCCTATCCTCTTCCTCCTCCTCCTCCTCCTCTCCTCTCCTCTACTCCTCCTCCTCCTCCTCCCCTCCGTCTGCTCCTTTGTCCTGCTGCTGCTCCTCCTCCTCTTCCTCCTCCTCCTCCTCCTCCTCCTCTACTCCTCCTCCTCCTCCACGCTCTCCTCCTCTCTCCTCCTCCTTCCTCCTCCTCCTCCTCTCCTTTCTCCTCTCCCTCCTCTCCTTCCCTCTCCTCCTCCTCTTCATATCTCTCCTAATCCTCCTCCTCCTCCTCCTCCTCCGCCTCCTCCTACCACCTCATCCTGCCTCCTCATCTTCATCCTCCTCATCCCCCCCGCCCTTCCCCCGAGCCCCCCCCGCTGACCCGAGGGCGCCGAGGGCCCCCCCCGCTCGTGGCCCGTGAGGGCGGCCGCCCCCCCGAGGGCCCCCCGCGAGCCCCCCCCCCCGCCCCGGCGTTCGGCGGCGGGGGGGCAGCAGGGCGGCGGGCCCCCGCCCCGCCACGGCCCGGCATGAGGCTTAAGTCGGGCATGTCCTCCTGCGGGCGAGCTTTGGAAGAAACATCGAAGAATAGTCAAACAGTATCCCGACAAAGCAACCTAACAGCGATGTGTATAAGCATACCTGGAAGCATTCCCCTTATGATTCGGGTGAGAATCCAGTTGTAGAATCCTGCTGTTCTCGCAGTCGCAGTCGCATTCGCAATGACAGTCGCAGTGGCAACGGCCTCAGGATCCAATGGAATCCTGAGGATTCCTAGGGATTCCTAAGGCATCCTTAGGCATCCTTAGGAATCCATAGGAATCCTTAGGAAACCTTAGGAATCCTTAGGAATCCTGATTCCTAGGGATTCCTATGGATTCCTAAGGTTTCCTGGGGAATCCTAAGGATTCCTAAGGATTCCTGAGGATGCTGAACTATGACTACGGATTCCCAAGGATGCCTACGGATTCCTAAGGAGTCCTAGGGATTCCTAAGGATTCCTATGGATTCCTACGGATGCCTCAGCCTCAGCCTCAGCCTGCCTCCGCCTCAGCCTCAGCCTGCCTCAGCCTCAGCCACAGCCTGCCTCGGCCTCAGCCTGCGTCAGCCTCAGCCTCAGCCTGCCTCAGCCTCAGCCTGCCTCAGCCTCAGCCTCAGCCTCAGCCTCAGCCTCAGCCTGCCTCGGCTTGCCTCAGCCTCAGCCTCAGCCTGCCTCAGCCTCAGCCGGCCTCGGCCTCAGCCTGCCTCAACCTCCCCTCCTCACCCCCTTCCCCCCCATTCAGCCTCACCTTGTCTCAGCTTCGGTTTGCCTCGGCCTCAGCCTTAGCCTCAGCCTCAGTCTCAGCCTCAGCCTGTCTCGGCCTGAGCCTGCCTCGGCCTCAGCGTCAGCCTGCCTCAGCCTCAGCCTGCCTCAGCCTCAGCCTCAGCCTGTCTCAGCCTCAGCCTCCGCCTGCCTCAGCCTCAGCCTCAGCTTCAGCCTGCCTCGGCTTGCCTCGGCCTCAGCCTCAGCCTGCCTCAGCCTCAGCCTCAGCTTCAGCCTGCCTCAGCCTCAGCCTACGGCCCTGCCTCAGGCCTCCGCCTGCCTCTCAGCTCTCAGCTGCCTCGGCTTGCCTCCCTTGCCTCAGCCTCAAGGCCACCGCCTCTGCCTTGCCTCAGCCTCAGACCTGCTCGCCTCAGCCTGCATCAACCTACCCTCTCCCCCCCTACACCCCATTCAGCCTCACTTGGTCGCAGATTCGGTCTGCCCTCAGGCCGTGGCCTTGGCCTCTGGCCTCGTCCTCAGCCTCCCCTGTCTCGGCGTGAGCCTGCCTCAGCCTCAGCCTCAGCCTGCCTGAGCCTCAGCCTCAGCCTGTCTCAGCCTCAGCCTGCCTCAGCATCAGCCTCAGCCTCAGCCTCAGCCTGCCTCGGCTTGCCTCGGCCTCAGCCTCAGCCTGCCTCGGCCTCAGCCTCAGCTTCAGCCTGCCTCAGCCTCAGCCTCCGCCTGCCTCAGCCTCAGCCGGCCTCGGCCTCAGCGTCAGCCTGTCTCAGCCTCAGCCACAGCCTCAGCCTCAGCCTCAGCCTCAGCCTCAGCCTGCCTCAGCTTCAGCCTGAGCCTCAGCCTGCCTCGGCTTGCCTCAGCCTCAGCCTGTCTCACCCTGCCTCAGCCTCAGCCTGCCTCAGCCTCAGCGTCAGCCTCTGAGCCTCAGCCTGCATCAGCCTCAGCCTCAGCCTCAGCCTGCCTCAGCCTCAGCCTCAGCCTGCCTCAGCCTCAGCCTGCCTCAGCCTCAGCCTCAGCCTGCCTCGGCCTGAGCCTGCCTCAGCCTCAGCCTCAGCCTGCCTCAGCCTCAGCCTGCCTCAGCCTCAGCCTGCCTCAGCCTCAGCCTCAGCCTGTCTCGGCGTGCCTCAGCCTCAGCCTCAGCCTGCCTCGGCCTCAGCCTGCCTCGGCCTCAGCCTGCCGCAGCTCGGGCATTCTAACTATGGCACAGGATTAGTGTTCTGGGAACACGAAGATCACGAAGTGGCCCATAGTTGGCTCCGGGCAATCAAAATATGGTACAGGAATGGTGTTCTGGGAAGACGAAGAACACGAAGTGGCCTACAGTTGGCTCCGGGCATTCAAAATGTGGCCTGGGAGTAATGTTCTGGGAAGACGAAGGACACGAAGTGGCCTACAGTTGGCTCCGGGCATTCAAAATGTGGCCTGGGAATGGTGTTCTGGGAAGACGAAGGACACGAAGTGGCCTACAGTTGGCTCAGGGCATTCAAAATGTGGCCTGGGAATGGTGTTCTGGGAACACGAAGAACACGAAGTGGCCTACAGTTGGCTCCTGGCATTCAAAATGTGGCCTGGGAATGGTGTTCTGGGAAGACGAAGAACACGAAGTGGCTTACAGTTGGCTCCGGGCATTCGAAATGTGGCCTGGGAATAATGTTCTGGGAACACGAAGAACACGAAGTGGCCTACAGTTGGTTCTGGGCGTTCAAAATGTGGCCTGGGAACGGTGTTTTGGGAAGACGAAGAACACGAAGTGGCTTACAGTTGGCTCCGGGCATTCAAAATGTGGCCTGGGAGTGGTGTTCTGGGAAGACGAAGGACACGAAGTGGCCTACAGCTGGCTCCGGGCATTCAAAATTGGCCTGGGAATGGTGTTGTGGGAACACGAAGAACACGAAGTGGCCTACAGTTGGCTCCGGGCATTCAAAATGTGGCCTGGGAGTGGTGCTCTGGGACTGGATTCCTAAGGATTCTTAACAATTCCTAAGGATTCCTGAAGATTCTGGTGCTGACCCTTTTGTTTGGGTTCTTGTCCAGATCCCGCCCAGACCCCCCTGGAGCGTCAAGATGCTTTGTTTTCATCCCATTAGAAATCTATCAGCAAAAGCTGTTAGGTAAAAAACCTATTGAAGCATGGTCGTCCCAGGCTTAGTTTTTACTATCCTCGGATATTCCGCCTGTAGAGGGATGTGCCTGACTTAAGCCTGGCACCGCGGCCCTCTGGATTCGCCTCGACATTCTGGTCAGAACGCACCCCGGGAGGGGTCTGGGGGGTAGCGGTATCAGTACTTCTTGGTTTTCCCATCCACAAGGGGACCGGGTCGGACGGACCTCGGCGGACCATGCCGCTCTCTTCGGCGGCGCGCAGAAGGCCTGCGACCACTTGCGAACCCTACCCCTGTGGCGGGTCCAGTCGACGCTGGGGGTATCGGGGGCCAGGCTGAGAAATCGGACCTGAAGGGGTTTCACATGTTGTTGCCACCAAGGGTTAAATACGTCGGACGTGTCCCTCTACAGGAGGACGAATCCAAGGTAGTCAAGAAATGGCATGGGGAAGATTCTTCTAGTATTGTCGCAATGTTTCATTCTCGTTTGACTATGGCTTCTTGTTCGTCTAAAGTCCTTCTGAAGGGGGACATGCCCGACCTAATCCAAGGGGGTGGCGCAAGGGAGGGGCCCCGCGAGGACCCACGGGGCCCTCCAGAAAAGGCACCCCTCCCTCTGGGAGCTCCGAGCCCCTCCGCGGAGCACAGCACCCTGCCCGCTATTGGGAGGCCGCCCCCCCCCCGCGCCCGCCGGGGGAGGAGGAGGAGGAGGAGGAGGAGGAGGAGGAGGAGGAGGACGAGGAGGAGAAGGAGGCCCTAGACCACTCCGGGGGCCCATGCTGGACAGCTGCTCGAGCCGCGTCCCGATGCGGCGTCGAGAGCCTCCAGGAGCGGCAGACGACCTCCGGACCGACGAGGCCGACGACGAAGACCGCGACGACGACCTCGACGACGACGACGACGACGACGACGACGACGACGACGACGACGACGGCGACGACGACGACGGCGACGGCGACGAAGTTCTGCGTGCGGCCCACATCTTCCTCCTCCCCACAGCCACTTTTGACTCAAGCCGCGGCGGCCCTGACCGTGAGCGCTCTACACCGCGGGGGTCAGTGCCCCTTGCATACCCATAGAAACACCAGCCCAGACTAGGTGGTCAGTCGGGCAGCGCCCGTCGTCTGTAGGCCACCCTGTGGGCCAGGAGGGTACTGGGGCCCTCAGGAACAAAGAAGCAAACCTACCTCCTGCTCCTCCTCCTCCTACTTCTCCTCCTCCTATTCGTCGTCCTCCTCCTCCTGCTCCTGCTCCTCCTCCTCCTCCTGCTCCTCCTCCTCCTCCTGCTCCTCCTCCTCCTCGTCGCTCTTCTCTTCCTCCTCCCTCCTTCTTCTCTGCATTTCCCCTCCCCGTCGTTACCCTCCTTCTCCTCCCCCTCTCCCTCCCCCCTCCCCCTCCTCCCCCTCCTCCTCCCTCCTTGTTCTCCTCCTCCCCCTCCGTCTCATCCTCCTCATCCGTCCTCCCTCCTCCGTCCTCCCTCCCCCCTCCTCACTGAACGTCCTCCCCTCTGTCTCCTCCCTCATCCTCCTCCTCCTCCCCCTCCTTTTTCGCCGCGCCAGGGGCCAGAGAGGGGGGGGGCCAGGAACCAATCGAGCATCCTCCGGGAGGGGGTTCAGGACAGACAGCATATGTTTTCTTCCACGATCGGGGTTTTTGTTGGCCCCCAGAGGGTCTATTGTCAGGAAGGGAAAAAACACACAGACACAATTAATCGTCGATTCCCAAGAAAATATGGGAATTGGGCGGGAAGACAAAAACCAAGAAAATATGGGAAAACTATTGGGAATCTTTTTATTTGTGTGTATTTATTTGTGCGTCCTGGGGCCCCTTCATATTGGTCGGTTCCTGGGCCCCCAGAGGGCGTTCCAGAAAGGGTATCGCCGGCTAGCCTCCAAGGGATCCAGAAGTCCCCTCCTCTGCCTCGGCGGAACGCCGACGGAAGCAAAACGACGGCGGCTCCGCCGGCGGAAGTGCAAGTCGACCCTCCAAGAAACGCGCAAGATTGTTTGGTCATGAGCGTCGTCGTCGTGCTCCTCGTCGTCGTCGTCGTTGTCGTCGGTGTCGTCGTCGTCGTGCTCCTCTTCGTCGTCGTCGTCGTTGTCGTCGTCGTCGTCGTCGTCGTCGCCGCCGTCGTCGTCGTCGTCGAAGTCGTCGTCGTCGTCGCCGTCGCCGTCGTCGTCGTCGTCGTCGTCGTCGTCGTCATCGTCGCCGCCGTCGTGGTCGTGTCCGCCGTCGCCCGTGGCTCCGGGGCTCCTTTCGAGCGCGAGCCCTCCGAGCCCCCCCGAGCCTCTCGGAGCCCGCGAGGGCGGCCTGCCGACGGGCGGCACAGATCCCCCGCGCCACATGGCCGGCATGCTGCCCCTCGTCGTCCTGGGCGGGCGCGCGGTGGCCCTGGGCGCCGCGCCCTGCCGCCGCGAGGCGGCGCCAGTCCGCGAGGCCACCGAGCCCGGGGCGGGCCCCGAGCTGGGGGCGAGCCCGCCCCGGAAGCAGGAGACGCGGAGGGCCGAAGCGTCCGAGGGGGGGGGGGGGCGGGGGAGGCCCCCAGAGCCCCTCGCGCGGTGAAGAAGTCACGGCGGGAGGTTTTTGTCGCCATCTTCTGCCTCATGGGGGCCCTCTCCGGCCCCCGGGACCGCCAACAGAACGACCCAGAAGGAGAGGCCGGTCCCGGGGGAGTGGGTCGAGACCTCCGGGGGTCGACGTTATCAGAAAATCCTGACGTCGGGTGCCTGGGTCAGGGGGGAGGGCTTCGAGGTTTTCGGGCGACCTCTGCAGGGCTCGTTTCGATTCCTCCGATTCGATTCGACTCGACGTCGGTGGCTTCCGATTCCGATCCGATTCGACTCGGGATTCCGATGGGGGTCCCGATGCCTCATCGGGGGCATGATGGCCTGCCGATGCCCGCCGATCCGATGCTTCCCGCCTCGGCTGCCGATCATTTCCGCCGATCCGATGCATGTCGATCGCCGGTCCGACGGGGCCCTCGCGGGGTGCTCTCTGCCCAGCACGGTCGGCAGGCCGTCCGCGCCGTCGTCTCCTGGCGCCGGGGCCTTCGGCTTCAGGTGGTCCCCGAACTTGTTGACCTGAAGGGGCCCTGGGACGCACAAATAAATACACTGTTTTTGATTCGCGGGTCGAGAGCGCACCTCTTCCCTGGTCGAAGCTGAGCGGGCCGTGCGAAGCTTGAATGAACCAGGGGTGGGGGAGGAAAGGGGGAGGGCGCAGCCTCAGAGCGGAGCCGGGAGGAGGCAACGCCTCGGGATCAGGCGGTGCCGAAGTCGACGTACTTGCAAAGGCGCGCCGTTTCCGGGAACCCGGTGGCGAGCACAAATAATGGAGGATGACGATTAATAAATGACTGGGGGTCGTGTTCACGCGGCGGCGCCCAGGATGACGATAAGAAAAAACCGGCCGGCGCCGCCCCTGGCGCGCTCCGCGCGCCAGGGAGGGGGGTCCAGCGCCGATCCGAGAAATCTGCGCGGACCTCCGAGTTTTTATGTTTATGTCACTGTTCGTTCCCCTATAGAAGAGGAAGTCGGGCACGTCCCTCTTCTGCAGGAGGAGGGCTCGAGCATAGGTTAAAAACAACCGTCTGGGGACGATGCTTCCACTATTTGTTACTAGGCTCGAATATTTGTTGGGGTATGTGTTTCCCTTTTCGTGCAAAATCTGCAGGAGGACTGTTCAAAAGTAGTTTTAAAAAACCGTATAGGGACGATTTTCTGCTATGTGTAACTATGTTCGAATATGTGTTTCGGTATGCTTCCCTTTGCGTTCAAAATCTGCAGGAGGATGGTTCAAACATAGTTTAAAACATAATCTAGGGACGATGTTTCCTTTTTTCACAATGTTCGAATATTTGTTGGGGTATGTTCCCTTTTTCGTCCAAACTCTGCAGGGGGAAAGTTCAAAACGCGCTTTTGTTTGGTAAATCGTCTGGGGACGATGTTTTTGCTATTTGTTACTATGTTCGAAGATGTTTGGGGTACTTTTTCCATTTTTCGTCCTAAATCTGCATGTAGGGGGGCATGCCCGACCCAAAACGAATTCGGGCATATGCCACTCTACAAGAGGAATATTCGAGAGTGGTTAAAGCATAGTCTTGGGACAACTTTGCGTGTTCATTTTGTTGACGTAAGTCGGGCGTGTCCCTCTACAGGAGCAAAAATGGTCAAATGATAGTCTGGGGACGATGTTGTGATTGTTTGTTGCATATGTTTGCTCGTTTGTTTTGCCATGTTTTATGTTTCGTTCAAAATCCACATGTAGGGGAACATGCCCGACCTAAGACTACTTGTTGACTCTTTTTTATTTTCTCCCAAATCCGCCTGTAGGAGGACACGTCCGACCTAACCCGAGTCCACGAGAACCAGGGAGCGCCGAAAGGGGGGGGTAGCTCGTGCCCTCGTGACCCAAAAAGGGGTCCAGCAGAAAGGGGGTGGCGCAATGGATTCGGGGCACTCGTATTCCAAATGTGCTCCGGAGGACTGGATTACACTGCAGTGCCGCTAATGCAGTGCACGCGAACATCCAGCAACATGTTTCGGCCCTGGAATGTACTGCAGCACCCCCCAGATCTCTTGCGACCCCACAAATCTATTGCACCAAATCTGTTGCACCACCCCCTGTTCGCTGGACTCTCTTGTTGGACAAACCAGATCGTGGGGGGCGCATCGACCCCCCCGTCGCTTATTCCTCGTCGATGGGGGGCCCGCTGGCCCCGCTCCGCCCAGGAACGCGTGCGGATGCGCCATTTTATCGGGCGCCCTCCGCCGACGCTCCGGCAGCGCATCGCCGAGTCCCCGGTCGCCCATAGTTTGCAGTCGGGCGTGTCCCCGTGCAGGAGGAATGTTCACAAATAGTAAAAGATTGGTCCGGGGATGATTTTTCGACTATGGTTGACTATTGCGTTTTCGATACCTATACATATATGTAGATATATACATATATGTATATATGTGTATCTATATATATATATATATTTGTATATGTGTATGTATGTATGTATATATATATTTGTGTATCAAAGCATTGTCATTCCGTGTATGTGTATTATATATGTGTGTATATATATATATATGTCATTGTTGCTTTTGCGAATACTCGCAATTTTCGCGCAGAACTCGCCTGTGGGAGTACAGGCCCGACCTGACCTTCGTTGCCCCCCCCCCCCCGTGACGCTGCCCCCGAGGAGGCCATCGACTCCCAGAGCACCGTCGCGAGCGACGGCGCGGGCGGCTCCGAGGCGAGCGACTCGGACGAGCCGAGGCTCGGAGCTCGCCACCTGTGCTCACCACCCACCAACCCTTCTGTTGCATCTTCGGGGGACTTCGCCTGTCCCAAAAATTGGTGTCTCTTTTGGGGGCCCGACGCGTGCTCGATGCGGACTCGACGCGGATTTGGCGTGGATTTGACGCGGATTCGACACGGATTCGACACGGATCCGACGCGTCCGACATGGATTCGACACGGATTCGACGCGGACAGGGCCGCGACGGGACAGACGAGGTCCCCCGAGGATGCAACATAACAACCCACCCCAACCCAACCCGAAGGCCCCGAGTTGCCCTCCATTTTCACTGGGGGGGGGTTCGGGGAGCACGAAAAGACACATATAGAACCCGTACCCCCCCCCCAACCCGCAATTCGGGTCTTCGGGTTGGGTTGGGGTGGTCGGGGTAGGCAGTCATGTGCACCTGCACCGGCTCCCGGCCAGGCCCATGTTGGGCTCGTGATCGGTGCGTCTGCCTCGGCCTGCAGTCGAGCATCTGATCATGGGGCCTCCTCCCGAGAAGGCCGGGCCGGCGCTTCTGGGCCGACTCGCCGAAAAGCTGGCCCGGTTTCGCGAGTTCCTTCGCCTTGTCGGCGTTGGCACGAACACTTGGCCCAGATTTGCTTTCAAACACCTCGGGAAAAGCTGGTCCAGCTTCATGATGTTCCAACCTATTATACCCTTGATCACCAGGAATCATCTCGAGCGCCAAGAAAGTACCGAAACCTGAGGGTTTTCACGTGCGGGGCCCTGAGACGCGATACTCGCTCGACACCGCTTCGATACTTTTCTGGGTATTCGAAATCATTTCTGGGACGTGGTCCTCAAGTACGATGAGGACAGCATGAGCCCAGGAGTTTCAAGCCATGAATTTCTGGATCATGGTTCCAGCTGTAGGACCGGATGGCCTATGCGCCGACCCCGGCCTCAGGGTGGGCCCGGCCAGGACGGGTGCGGGTGCATCGCTGGCGCCCTCCGAGAGGACGACCGTGCAGCTGCGCAACGTGCCGCCGGCGTTCTCGCGGGCGATGCTGCTGAGCCTGCTGGACGCGCAGGGCTTCCGGGCCCGCTACGACTTCGTCTATGCCAAGGGGCGTCGCCGTTCCGCCGCCCCCCTGAAGAAGGGCGGGATTCGGCCAGATGTCCTGGGGCTCCTCGGGAGGCTGCTGGTGCTCCTCCAGAGTCGCCGAGCGTGCCAGCTGCGAGGGGGCTCGAGCCCGCTGATCACTCGAACGAGTGATGCTACCAAGGTCCTTGAGATGCCAGCGGCGGGGAGGGGGAGGAGGAGGAGGAGGAGGAGGAGGAGGAGGAGGAGGAGGAGGAGGAGGAGGAGGAGGAGGAGGAGAAGGAGGAGAGGAGGAGGGGGGGGGAGGGGGGGAGGAGGAGGAGGAGGGGGAGGAGGAGGAGGAGGAAGAGGAGGAGGAGGAGGAGCAGGAAGTTGAGGAGGACGGGGACGATGAGCAGCAGGGGCAAGCGGAGGGGGACGGGGACGCAAGGACGAGAGGAGGGAGACAGGGGGGGAGAGAGAGGGAGGGGTAGTGGGCGAGGAGCAGGAGGACATAGTGAGAGAGGGAGGGATTGGGATGGGGAGAGGAGGGGCACGGGGATGATGATGAAAGGGGAGGAGAAGCAGCGGAAGGAGTTGAGATGCATGGGGGGCCCCGGACGAGCAGCCATGGTGGCTTCATGCGGGGACCAGATCGAGCAACGCCGCAATAAGAAATTATCGTGCTTCGGCCGCTGGGCGGCCCTTCGGGGTGGCTCGTCGGAGGCCTTCTGGACCATCTGCGCGCCTCGGGGTCATCGTGGACTCATCCTGGAGGCAACTTCATCCCGATCCGAGGCAGTTTGGGAGGATCTGGAGCTCTCTTGGGCCATCCAGGGGCCGCTTGGGTCCAGCCGAGGGAGATCGGGGGAAGTGCGCTGGCGAGCTCGGGTCCTCCACTCTGACCCCTTGAAGAGAGGGGTCCATGCTGTCAAGAAGCGCAGATGTCCTGATGGGGGGGTCAGATTCCATAATAAAGTGGGGGGGGTCACACTGGGGGGGTCTGATTCGAGCTGTCTTGGAGGGTTCGGGTGGGTCTGGGCAAAAGGCCGACGAACTGGAGTGGACGGTCTGAGGGGGTCTAAAAACTGCTCGTCTGGGAGGGTTGTGACCCCTTCCCCTGTCGCATGGCCTGCCAGCGAGCGAGCGGTGGGGAAAAAGGGGGAGGACGAGACAGGCGGCAGGGAGGGAGGGAGGGAGGGAGGGAGGGAGGGAGGGAGGGAGGGAGGGAAGGGAGGGAGGGAGGGAGGGAGGGAGGGAGGAGGAGGAGGAGGAGGAGGAGGAGGAGGAGGAGGAGGCCACTCTTGGTCACACGCCTTGCCAGCCCCAGCAGGCGGGGGTCGGCGGACCTGCCGATGGACTTCTCGACGGAGGAGAGCCTCGGGTAGCCTGCTGCCTGCGGCGAGCCTCGCCACCGTGCCAGCGCAGCAGCGTGGTGTGAAGGGGTTTGAGCTCACGGCCCACTGCAGCCCAGCGCGCGGTGTGAGGTCGAGTCTGTTTTGAGCTCGACCTCGTTCCCTCACTCTTGGGGGCCCCTGAGGGACCTCTCGGGGGCCTCCTGGATGGCCTTTGGAGGCCTCTTGTGGCGCTTTGAAGTCGTCGTCGGTGTTTTCGCTGGCCGTTTTCAGGCCTTCCCTTTGGGGCCTCCTGAGTCTGGGGGGCCTCTGGAGCCGTCGTGGGCTGTGAGAGGAAGACCGTTGAAACAACCTTATGGTCCATCAATTGGTTTGCCCTTTTCGGGGCTCCTGGATGGCCTCTTGGAGCCCTCTTGTCCTGTACCGTAGGCCTCCTGTGTCATCTTAGGACTGTACTGGCCCGCCTGGCGCCTGCGGAGGCCGTTTTGGGGTCCCCTATGGGCCGCCTTGGGGTCCTCTTGGGGCGCTTTCGGGCCGTCATGAAGGTCGCTTGGGCCGTCTTGGGGGCCTACTGGGCCATCTTGGGCGTATCTGGGGTATCTTCGGCTGCCAGAAGCCCGAGAGGCGAGAACGCGGACACCGTTGAGCAACCTTGTTGCAGAAATCCATGATTTGGGTTCGCTGACAGCCTCTCGAAGGGCCTCTTGGAGCCATCTTGTGCTGTATCGGAGGCCTCCTGTGCCATCTTAGGACTGTACTGGCCCGCCTGGCGCCTGCGCAGACCGTTCTGGGGGTCCCTATGGGACGTTTCGGGGTCCTCTTAGAGCGCTTCCAGGCCGTCATGGACGTCTCTCGGGCCGTCTTAGGGGGGCCCTCTTGGGGCCTTTTGGTCCTCTTGGGCTGTATCGGGAGCCTCATGGGTCGTCTTAGAGCCCTCTTGGCCCGTCTGACGCTGTCGGTTGCCGTCTTGGGGGCCTCTCTGGGAGGTCTTGGGGACCTCTTGGGGCATTGTGGGGTCGTCATGGAGATCTCTTGGGCCGTCTTGGGGGCCTATTGGGCCACCTGAGATGTATCTGCGGCCATCTTAGGCTGCCGGAAACCCGAAGAGGCGACAACGCGACAACCATTGAGCGAATTTACCGTGGAAAACAATGATGTGGACTTTCGGGCAGCCTATCTTCGCCAAAGCTTCTTGGATCACATCGGTGGCATCTTGAGGCCAGCGTGGAACCTCCATAGTTGTCTTGGCGCAGTCTAGAGGCCACTGGGATGAGATCGGCCCCAGAGCATATGTTAGAAACGGACCTTACCATCGAAGAAACATTACACCTGAGAAAACCCAATCAGTGGATGATTTGAAAATCAATACGATGGATCTTGAGATCGTTTGCGAGATCGACAATGAGATCGACAGTGGAATTGATAATGAGGACGATTGTAAGGTCAATCGTGAGACCGAGAGTGACATCGATTCAATGAGATCGATAGTAAAATCGATCGCGAGATCGCTCATGCGGTCTCTAGTGAGATCGCTTGTGAGATCGATAGAGAGATCGATTCGATTATGAGATCGATGGTGAGATCGAAAAAGAAATGGATAATGAGATCGATGGTGAGACCGATCGATAAGAAGATCGACCAGGAACCCGAGAACCCGGGAACCTCGCCGCCCTCCGAAATCGGCCCGGAACCTTGAACCCGGAACGGGGAACCCGGGAACCCGGCGTGCGACCAAAATCGCCGGAAAATTTTCGCCAAATCCTTCAACTTCCGCGAGGACCCCTGCAGTGCAAGCACTGATTGGAGAAATATTGTGGATCTTGAGATCGATTGCGAGATCGATAATGAGATCGATAGTGGAATCGATAGTGAGGACGATTGTAAGATCGATCGTGAGACCGAGAGTGACATCGATTCAATGAGATCGATAGTAAAATCGATCGCGAGATCGCTCATGCGATCTCTACTTAGCGAGATCGCTTGTGAGATCGATAGAGAGATCGATTGTGAGATCGATGGTGAGATCGAAAGAGAAGTGGGTAATGAGATCGATGGTGAGACCGATCGATGAGAAGATCGACCAAGAACCCGGGAACCCAGGAACCTCGCCGCCCTCCGAAATCGGCCCAGAGCGGGAACCCGGGAACCCGGAACCAGGAACCCCTGCAGAACCCAGCGTGCGACCAAAATCGGCGGGAAATTTCCGCCAAATCCTTCAACTTCCGCAAGGACCCCTTCAGTGCAAGCACTGATCGGGGAAAAAACTCCGTAAACAGAAACTGTTGGCGCTCCGCGCGGGTTTCTTCAATCCGCGCTGGGCCCCCCTGGCGGCGCCTCCGGCGCCGCCCCTGGTGCGCTCCGCGCGCCAGGGACGGGGTCCAGCGCGGATCCAATAAATCTGTGCGGAGCGCCAAAAGTTTATGTTTACGGTGTTTTTTTCTTCCCTTCCTCTACACAAGACAGCAGAGGAACAATCGGACACGCCCCAGCGTGCTGAGGACACGGTGGCGGATGCCTTCGTGAACTTCCTGACCGCGGAGGACGCCTCGCGCTTCCGGTGCCTGCTGAACCTCCCTGGGCCCCCCGGCCTGCAGCGCGAGGGAGCCGGCTGCAGCACCACCTGGAGCCTCTGGCAGGGGCTCGCGGAGAACGTCCGGCGCTACCGCAACAGCCCCGTGATGGGCAAGGGCGTGGCCGACGGCTTCAAGCCGATCGTGCTCTCCGAGGGCAAGAGGGTCGCGTTCCCGCGCCCGACGAAGAAGGCTCGGGGGGGTGCTGAGGGTGCCCCTGGGCCGAGATGCCCCCCAGCTCCTCGCTCCGTTCTGGAGCTCCCGGGGCCCTCTACAGGCCTCGTGAGGGGTCCACTGCAGGCCGCGGTGGGGGCACCGTTGGGCCACGGGCGCTCCTGGCGACCCCCGGCAGGTGAAGGAGCCCCGCGTGCGCAAGGACCTGGTCAGGCGGACCGGTGGCCCGGAGGCCGCGCAGGCCTGAGGGCCAGGGCGCAGCCGGCCCGCTCTCCGGCGCAGCACACATGATGCCGCGGGCGGGCCAGCTGCCAGCTGGTCTCGCGGCGCCCGGTTTGGCGGGCGCTCGGGCCTGAGGCCTCCGCCGGAAGGGGGGGGAGAGGGCGTCCTCCGAGGAACAATCGGCGGAGGAGAAGGTACCTATACCTCTACCCCCTCGCCCGTTTTCCCCTGTTTAGGCCTCCTGGGAGGCCCTCGTCGCCACCGCTGGATTCGCCTCGAAATTCTCGTCAGAACGCACCCCGGGAGAGGTCCGGGGAGTGGCGGCATCGGAACCGTATGGTCTCCCCTGTCAGGACGCACCGTATCAGCCCCATGTCCACGCATCTGCGGCCAGCAGGGGTGGGAGGTCAGCGAGGGTTTTGCACGGGTGTTGTCAGGGCGGGAGGACAGGGGACAAGGCAAGTGTTGTAGTCAGCAGTGCCCCTGGCCCGAAGCCTGTCCATTCGTTCTGCCCCCCGATGAGCCTCGCGGTGTGAGTGCAATCGTGCCCCCAACTGGGTACAACCTCCCTATAGCCCTATAGCCGTATAGCCCCATAGCCCCAGAGCACCATAGCTATATAGCCCAATTGCCGTATAGCCCTACAGCCCTATAGCTCCATAAACTGATAGCCCTATAGCCCGATAGCCCTAATAAGATTATGATCGTGGCTTTTTTCTCCAGTATCACACTTGTACATATATTAGTATGTCCATAAATGTACTTTCCAAACGGTGCTTGCACTTAGGGGTCCTCACTTCCCTTTAAAGGAACTGGGCCCTGCGGCCCTGTTCCCATCCGTCGCCGACTTCTTTTTCCAGAAGGCCCGTCTGTTGGCCCGGCGGCCCCGTTCCCGTCCGTCGCCGCCGCCCCGTTGCCCCCCCCCCCCTCCCCTTGGTTGCACCCCCCCCCCGGTCGCATCGCAAGCTTTGCATTGCTTTGCACTGCTTTGCATTGCTTTGAGCCGATTTGCAGCATTGCATTGTATTGCTTTGCATCCCATTGCATTGCTTTGCATTGCAAGGCCTTGCATGGTTCTGCATGTTTCATTGCGTTGTGTTTTGCATGTGTTGTTGCATTGCCCTGCATTGCCCTTCAATTCCCTTTGTTGCCCTGCATTGTCCTGCATTGCCCTGCATTGCACTGTTTTGCTTTGTATTGCTTTGCAGTGATTTGCTGTGGTTTGCAGTGCTTTGCATTGCTTCGCATGGCGTTGCATTGCTTCGCATTGCTTCGCATTTCTTCGCATTGATTTGCATTGCCTTGTATTGGTTCGCATTGCTGTGCACAACATCGATTGCACGACGTGTATTGCATTACCTAGATTGCAACAAATTGATTACACCACCCAGATTGCACCGCATAGATTGCAAGAAGTCACCGTTTGGGTTCAACGCTCGCTAACACACACACACACGTGTACACGCATAAAGATACTGCGTACATAAGATATAAAGATACTGCGTACATATGGTTCTCCTCTCGATCACTGCGGGCATGAGCCGCTACAAGACGAATGTTTACACCGCTGCGCCATGTTGCCGTTGACACCTGTGTGTTCCATTGCTGGGGAGGCACCCTGGAGGCCGTGGGGGCCAGCTTGAAAAACTTTGGTGCACCCTTGACCAGGGGCGCCTCCGGCGGCAGCACCTAGGAGGACTGAGTGGAGCAAGGCTCTGGAAAACCGGGACTCTGCAAACCAGGGCTTTTTGCCAGATCCAGCGGGAGCATGTTTCGACCCTTGGCATACAGCGTTCGCAGGTCAGTAAAGTCCAAGTTTGCGGAGCCCCGGGGCAGGAAGGGTGGGCATGAGGCCGCGCTTGCAGCGGTTTTTATTTTCATTTTGACGAACTCGGCCAAGACCTCGCGCGCCGTCACTCGGTGATGCTATGCATCCCAGCTCTGGGCAGCCGACACCACGCAGTGGGATCCGTGGGAAGGGGGGGAGAAAGCACTCAGCGGGTGGAGGACGGACCAGCATACGATCAGGAAGCATCCAAGATGTTACAATGTCCCTACGCGCCCCAAGTCGCCCCCCCCCCCCCCCCTGCAGGTTCCTACAAGTATTAGGTTTCATTCCGAGGAGCCCGATCTTCCGATCTTGAAAGTGGGGCCCGAGTAAATCCAGATCCGCCGCCCCCTGGGGTCCCAGGACATCGGTCCCCCGGGCGGCGGGTGTGCACAGGTCGCCGCCTCGCACCTGCTCGGGTGGGCGAATTCTGCTTCGCCCTCCCCTTGCCAACCTTCGTCTGCAGTCGAGTTTGATTAGTATCACGTCAAGGCTACCCTTGCGCCCACTGCTTCGTGACCTTTGCCTTCTGCATCCCTATGGTAACTTAGCGCCTTCGGCAAGGCCTTGCGTCCTCTCGCGCGCCCTCCCCGATCAAACTCGACTGCAGTTTCGCAACGGTCTTCGACGTTTCCAGGATGTCGGGGCTGGCACTTCGGAGGAGCGCGCCGAGCTCGGCAAGGTCTGGGGCCCCAGAGGGGGGGGCGGGGGCCAGAGGAAGGGGCGACGAGGAGGAAGGGGCGTTGATTGTCCCGCGGCAGGAAAGCCTACTGACTCCATAGTCGCATCCTCTAACGTTGGCTTCGCGTCAATGGTTTCTCGACGCGTGGGGAAGGACCCGTGTGAGGGGTGCACGACCATGGATGTGGAACTGCATGCGGGCGCTGCCCCTGGGGACTTCGGTGGAGCTCCTTGTGGGGGCACGACGAAACGCGCGAGGGGTGCAAGGGATAGGAGGAGGCGGGAGGAGGAGGGGGAAGAGGGAGGAGGAGGCGGGAGTAGGAGGGGGAGGAGGGGGAGGAGGAGGAGGGGGAGGAGGAGGGGGAGGAGGAGGAGGAGGAGGAGGAGGAGGAGGAGGAAGAGGAGGAGGAGGAGGAGGAGGAGGAGGAGGAGGAGGAGACGCGGGGCGCTGTCTCTTCAAAGCGAGGACCCGACACCACAGGACGGCTGAGGAAAAGGCCAGGGGGCCTCCAGGAGGGGTCCTCCGACGCCCCCGCTCGCCCACATCCGAGCGCCGCCCCACCCGACGCAGACCCCCGACGTCATGATTTTTGCATGACGCGACCCCCCGAGCTGTGGACCCCATTCGCCGAGACCGGCTTCTCATCCCGAGCCGTTTTGTCGACGGTCCCGAGGCCCGGTTAGGGCCCCTACTGGCCATCGCTCGGACGTCCATTTCCCGTGCATGTTTCGGTTTCGTGCGTGTTTTTTTTGCTCGATGGTCCAGGATGGTCCTCGATTGTTCTCGCCGAGAAAAAAAAAACCACACGTCCGAGCGATGCCGAGGGGCCCCCAGGAGGTCGAAGGCAGCGGAACACTTTCCGTCGTGATCCCTGCGTTGCGCGAGGGGGTCTGGGGAGCAGGGCTGGGCCTTAGTGGTGAGTGTTGGTGCTTTCGTGGGCCGCTCTCGTCCCGAAAGTTCGTCCTGCGGTAGAAAGGCCTGGCATCGCTCGGACGTGTGTGTGTGTGTGTGTCTGTGTGTGTGTGTCTGTGTCTGTGTCTGTGTCTGTGTCTGTGTCTGTGTCTGTGTCTGTGTGTGTGTGTCTGTGTGTGTGTGTCTGTGTGCGTGTCTGTGTGTGTGTGTGTCTGTGTGTGTGTGTGTCTGTGTCTGTGTCTGTGTCTGTGTCTGTGTCTGTGCCTGTGTCTGTGTCTGTGTCTGTGTCTGTGTCTGTGTCTGTGTCTGTGTGCCGCGGGGCCTATAAAGGCAAAAGGAGCCCACAGAGGGCCCAGGCCCACGTGAGGGGCCCTGGCCCACAGGGGCCTTCCCAAGACAGGAGGAGGGCGCTTCGGCCCCGAGAGCCTCGACGACGTCGGAAAACTCCTGCCTCGAGGGCGCTACGGCCCCGAGGCACAGCTCGACACGTCCGAAGCTCTACCCCCGTCTATAGGGCATCTCCCGTACCAAGGGACATACAGGAGGAAAATCTGCGGTGCAAGCGGGCACAGACTGCAACAAGCACGTACGCATGCAAATACAGAAGGCCACTCACTCACACCCTCAACGCGCGATCACATTCCGAGCAGGAGAACACTGACAAGCAAACCAGCGGACGCTTCTGCCAAGAACTGACTCGCGCGTACTCAGAACCCTGAGAAGTCCTCACTCGAAATCATCCTCGAAGTGGCGGCTGCGCTCCAGCCGAGCGCACTGCTCGGCGAAGCTCGGCGAGCCCTGGGCTAGCCATGCGGCACGCTCGAGGTCGTACTCGGCAGCGCGCTCGCTGCCGTCGGAGAACTCGTCGATGAGGAACTGGCCGTGGTCGGGCCCGTAGTCCCTGAAGACCCCAAACACGGAGGAGACGTAGGAACTGCTGTCGCCGCCCACGGAGCCTTCGTCGACCTCATCGCGCTCGACGCTTCCGATGCCCTCTCGGAGGAGCGCAGCATAGTTATCTAGCAGGTACTGCGTGACAGCATCGTTGCGCTCGGCGGTGGCGGCGGAGAGGGTCGCGGAGCACACCGTGCTGTCCTGGCTCCCCTCGGCGCTCTCGCCTTCGCCGTGCCTGCTGTCGCCCTGCTCTCCAGTTGGGCCTCCCAGGTGCTCCAGCGGCGGCGGCGGCGCTCCAGCGCCTGCAGCACCGCCCACCTGGGGCCACTCGGCACGACACGGCACCTGGAGGGCAGCTGCGCCGACTCCCTCCCGCACCACGTCTGCCGTCCAAGCCCCGTCACGGGGAGGGCCAAGCTCAGCCCTGTCAACGGGAGCCAGGGGCCCGCAGTCCAGCGCCGCAAGCACCTCCTCGGCCGTCTCCTCGCAGCTCAGCTGGCGGAAGGGTACGTACGGCGTGGCCCCGCTCCGCAGCGGCGTGCGCCTCGATCGGAAGGGCTGGGCGCATGACCGCAGGCTCGCCCTCGGCTCCGCTGGTCTCCCGAGCTTCACGGCGGGCTCGGCGACGCAAATCTCGACCTGCATCTCCAGCGGCAGCCGCGCTGCCCCCTCACTGCTGGCACCGCCGTGGGCATCACCAGCTGGCCTGGGAGCTGCTCCCAGGCGGGGCCCGCGCTCGGCCTTGCGCCATGCGGCCGGCTCCGCTCCGGCCAGCGGGCAGGAAGCGGCGTGCCAGGCCACGTTGCGCCGCCGCCTGGCTGCTGGGGCCTCGGGTCTGCCGGCGACGCGGGCCGCCAGGACAGGCCTCGCGATCGCCTCGCGCCGCAGCACCTCGGGGTCCCCCTCGCCGTCGACCTTCGCCTCGAGCAGCTCGCGGAGCCTGGCGGCCTCGCCCCGGGCCTCTGCCAGCTCGCGCGTCAGCCGCTGCACAAGGCGGTCTGCAGCGAAGCGGGCACCAGCCACCCCGCGCAGACTCTCCCGCGCCATCTTGCCCGAGCGCGCCCAGGCACGGCTTGAGCCAAAATGGCTACGGATGTGTCTGTGTCTGTGCCTGTGCCTGTGTCTGTGTCTGTGTCTGTGTCTGTGTCTGTGTCTGTGTCTGTGTCTGTGTCTGTGTCTGTGTCTGTGTCTGTGTCTGTGTCTGTGTCTGTGTCTGTGTCTGTGTCTGTGTCTGTGTGTGTTTTCTCGGCGAGGACCCTTGAGGAACATCCTGGACCATCGAGCGAAAAAAACACACACGAAACCGAAAAACGCACGGGAAATGGACGTCCGAGCGACGGCAAGAAGGTGGATTCGAGACAGAGGCGAGGGAAGACGAGAGCACAGAACGAAAACGGAGAGCACCGCTTGGGCCCAGCCCTGCCGGGCAGCGCGCCGCCGACGCCGAGCTGCGGCGCCCCTGCGCGCTTCGACTGGGGGATCGACTACGGAATTGATTTACCCCAAAATTGATTTCCACGTCGACTGTTCAACAAACATACGTCAACCATTCGTAGACCTGCGAAAGTTCTACGAAGTGCCCGTGGACTCGACAAGAGAAATCAATTCTGGAGCAAACCAACTCTGTAGTCGATCTCCTACTCGAGCGCTGCGTGCCGCACGGCAGGCGCGTCGAGCCGCGCCGGGCGCGGCGGGGGGCCCGGCGGCGGGCGCTCGAGGCCGAGCGTCTCTGGGCCAGATGTGAGGAGCCTGCTGTCCACCACCACCAGAAGTTGCAGGGGGAGGGGGTCCTCCTCCTCCTCCTCCTTCTCCACCTCCTCCACCTCCTCCTGCTCCTCCTCCTCCTCCTCCTCTTCGTCCTCCTCCTCCTCCTCCTCCTCCTCCTCCTCCTCCTCCTCCTCCCAGTGCTCCACCTCCTTCCCCCCTCCAACTTCTGGTGGTGGTGGTGGAGAACAGGCGCACCAAGATGGGGTCGGAGCAGATGGCACAGGAGGAACAGGTACCTACCCCAGACCCCCTCGAGTCGTGAACAAATCACGGCGGGAGGTCTTGTTCGCTATTTTCGGCCTCGTGGGGCCCTTGCCGGCCCTCGGGGCCGTCCAAAACGACTCGGAAGGAGAAACTGGTCCCGGGGGAATCGGGTCGAGGGGTCGACGCCATAAGGGTCTGGGAGGCACCGATACCGTTACCCTCGCCACGTGTTTGCCTTTTTGGGGCCTCATGGGAGGCCCTCGTCGCCACCTTTAAGTCGGGCGTGTCCCCCGACAGGGGGATCTTCGACGAAAAATGCAAAGTACCCCCAAAATTGTCAAAAAATAGTCCACAAATAGTCTGGGGACTATTTTTGGAGTATTTTTTGACCTTTTTGGGGCATCTTTGGGGTATTTTTTATTTTTCGTCAAAAATCCCTTTGTATGGGGGACACGCCCGACATAACGCCACCTCTGGCTTCGCCTCGACAGTCTGGTCAGAACGCACCCCTGGAGAGGCCCAGGGAGTAGCGATACCGGCACTGTCTGATCTCCCCGAGATGGGGTCGGAGAGTCGCGCCGCATCGCCGATGCTTCGACGATGCGGCTCGATGTGGGGCCCGAGCTTCTCCACGCAGACGTCGCCGCTGCATCGGCGATGCAGCGAGATCCTCCAACCCCATCTGCTCCGACCCACCCCATCTGGAAGGCCTCTTATGTCACCGGTGGCCCAGAGTCGGCTGTTCTCGAAAGACCTGCGCTGTTCTGAGGGCCGCGATCGTCCAGGGTTGACCAGGTCGTGCAGTGACAGAAGCCCGCGGCGACGTTCTCGCGACGTAAATTTGCCGTCGCTGGCGCCCTCCCACAGCCAGGAGCAACGTAGGGGGGGGCATAATTAGATTGAGGGGGGGTGCATCGACCCCGAGTCCGCAGTTCATCGCCGATAGGGGCCGCTTAGCTGGTCACGTCCAGGAACATGCTACTTCGTTCTCGGGAGCCTATCCCCGATCTATCGGCGATGCATTGCTAGTTCTGGCTCAATGCTTCCCCCTCTGAGCCAGTCCCCCCCGAACGTTCCCCTCAGTTACCTCCTGGGCTGGAGGAGGAGGAGGAGGAGGAGGAGAAGGAGGAGGAGGAAGGGGAGGAGGAGCGAGGAGGAACAGGAGGAGGAGCGAAGAGGAGAGGAGCTAGGCGCAGCGAGGGGGAGTAGGGCCCTCTGCCAGTCCCCCCTCGACGTTCCCTCTCCCGCAGTGGTATCGGCTGCCCTGGCCAGCAGGCCATCTTCCCCTCGGCGTGCGACGCGCGCCCGGCTGCGGGGGTTCTGTGGCGCGTTGGCGCCGTGCCCCACAGCTTTGAGCGCAGCTCGCACGATCATATCGTAAACGCCTTACGGCCGGTGCAGCCGACCTGAAAGGACGACAACAACGACGACGACGACGACGAACCGAGGGCCTTGCCACAGGCTGGGGACATGGGGCGGGAGTGGGGAAGAGGAGGGGGAGGAGGAGGAGGAGGAGGAGGAGGAGGAGGAGGAGGAGGAGAATGATGATGATGATAATGATA